GAAAGGCTGGTTCCTCTAAGCTTCCAGTTCTCTCTTTTGATTGTATATTGGAGTGGCCAGATTGCTTTTTTCTTCAGGAGTTCCCATAGCAGCCCAAGTCAGATAAGGATCAGATGCTCTTAGGCTTTCTCCTAAGGTCTGGATCCCTCCAGGATAGATTTTGACCTCAGGAATTTGGGGGTTGGACTGGCCTGGGAGCCAGGCCCAGGAAAGATGCTAGTCTAGGGCAGCTGGTGTCCATGCCACCCAGAGATGCAAAGGAAGATGGGGGCAGGGACTGCACTGAGGAGCTGGGTTCGTCTGGATGCAAAGAGGAAAGGTCACCCCAGGTGTCCAGGATAGAGGCTGGTTGGTTGTCAAGACCCAAGGAGGTAGAGGAAGGTGAGGGTGAGGCCAGGCCCAGAGCGCCCCTGGGGACCCAAGAAGGGAACTGAGTTGCTCTGGATGTACAGGATCAGGAAGCAATGGTGGTTCCCCAAGTGTCTGGAGCATCAAGACAAGGAATGGGACAGCCCCAGGCTAGGAGGAGAGACAAGCAGGGGAGATGGGAGGGTGAATGAGGCTGGGGGAGACAAGGCACAGAGGGCCCGACTGACCTACCCTGGAGAGAGAGGCCTGCGGGTAGGAGAGGGGCCTGCGGTTCCTGCAGGCCCAGGGAAGCAGAGAGGATAATACACTGTTTTTAAAATTAATTTTGAAGACCTAAGATAATGCCATGGATTTCACACCATAAATATAAACTGTTACAACAATAATAATAATAATCTAACCAGAATTCAATTTTCTTATTTGACAAGAAAGAAATTAGAAAATTAACAGCTATAACTTTCAAACTCCATATAAAATGTCGATACATACGTGTGTGCCTATATATACCTATCATAATATATTTCAATATATTTGTAGACATATCTATGCTTACATATGAGCTATTATATTCATGTAATACTATTTCTTTGCTAAACATAGAAATAATACATAAAGATAACAAAATTTACAGGCTACTGTTCTTAATTATGCATAATATATTCAGTACTCTAATCTCAACAGGTAACTCAAGCTAAAACTACCTAATGACACAATGAAATCTTTGTCCCAAATACATTCTAACAAACCGAAAGAGCTGTTCTCTTTAGTACAGTCGTGATTACCCCTACTTATTCTGTGGAACACTGGAGTTTGACTCCCTGACAGGAAGGCAGGCTGTTATGGAGTTGGGAGTGTAGCCCACTGGTGGAGGGTTTCCTAGTATGCTTGAGGACATCGGTTCAATACCCAGCACTAAGAAAACAATATCTGAAAGGTTAAGACATATCAAATGTTGCCAGTTTTAGGACAAGTCGTTAAAAAGGTGTTAATTCATTGCTTAATGAGGATTTAGAACACACACTATTCTAATCAGAGGAGATTTTATTAGAAATTCAGAATTGCTTTTTTCTTTTTTAAAGTCTTTTTGACATAGGGTCTCCCTGTAGCCCCAGCTGTCCTGGAACTCACTATGTAGACCAGGCTGGCCTTGAACTCACAGAGATCCGCCTGCCTCTGCCTCTCATGTCCTGGGATTAAAGGCATGCGCCACCATGCCTAGCCCAAAACTGCATTTTAATAAGACTGCTAGGTAATCTGAGACCTTTGGTGTAGGGGGAATTAAGTCCCATTAAATACTGCTAAAGGACAATGCTCTCTAGGATTCCATCAGCTCTTCTCACCAACAATCCACACTCTGGAAGCCCAGTTTTACAAATAACTCAAGACAATCAATTTAACTGATGATTTATTTTCAACCATCAGTTGATGATAAAAAGACAATACCTTGAGCACTTGAACTTGACCTTCTGTAGTAATTTCTTGTAACAGCTCACAAAAGGACTGACACAGACCTACGGCATATGTCTGAAATTCAATGAAAAGTCAATATATGTAAGAATACAGTTGTAATACTTAAAAAGCATAAAATTAATTTTGGGACACCTTATAATCTATTTATAGAGAAGTTTATGCTAACAATCTAAGCAAAGAGTTTCAATTAGGAGTCTCAGAAAGAGTTAAGATTATGCCTAATACATGGTTTACTGATACACCGATTTTTATGGGAACATATTTACATATATAGTACATTTTCAGTGCTCAGTAACAGTGGAATTGATACTGACCACATCTTCCCTTCGGTTGAGAATGCTAACAAGTGAAATTTTCACCCCTAAAGTAACAGACTAATCTTAAACTTTAAAAAGGCACCCTGTGATTTCATACAAAGATCAAAATAATATAATTACTTACAATGCAAAAGCTATTCCAACATACCTGTAAAAATTCTGTTGATGATAAAAAGATATAACCATTGATGATCTTAAAACAGGTTCTGAGATTTTCTGAACTTAGTTCTGCCAAAACAGTAATTATTTTTAAAAAGAACAAATTAACTCACTGTGCAAAAATACAAGTGAAATGATTCGTTTTAGTTATAACTGGGTTACTACAGTAACATGAAGCACTCAGTTTGTTCTTATCTATGGATACTAATATAATTTTGGCATTTTTAGGTTCCTTATAGCAGCAAGCATGCAGCTTACCGTTTGCAAGGCAGCTGGATGGAAGCTCTGGGACAGAAGATCAAACAGAATATTGATAATGCTTTATCATCATAAAAATTAAAATATAAACTTCTACAAATAAACAGGTAGATGAAAAGCTAAGTTACAGTCAGAGTGTTGGCACACAATTGTAATTCCAGCACTTGGGAGGTTGAGGCAGGAGGATTGTGCATTCAAAGCCAGCAAGGCTAAAATGAAAACAAAACTAACTTACATACCTATCTTCATAATTTTTTTCTGACTACAACTATTCAGACTATAAACATCTATATGTATCTTATCTAAAAAATGGCATCAACCTATAATAATACTATCTCATTTATCTTTTATTAATAAAACTTTTCAGAAACTATTTCAAGGCCCTCCCTCTTTTTCCATTCAGAACAAAACTAGGAAACTATTCAACCCAAATTTTCATCCCAAATAAAATTTTTAGTGCTGATATGACAAATGCCAAATAACTGAATCATTTTATCATTGTATTTTGTCATCTGCTTAAATAGTTTCACTCAATGAGTATTTTCTACATATTACTGTACTGCCAGTGAATATGGGGTCTTATGAAATATATATATATATATATATATATATATAAGCTGATAAAAATGGGCTTTCACATGGCTTTTAAAACTTCTTGACACTCACTAATTTCTGATCCTCCAGAGAGAGAGAGAGAGAGAGAGAGAAATAGATACTGTTTAGTATCTTTAATCCTTAGGGTTTCATTTTCAAATGCTTCCCTATAAAAACCTACAGAAAAAAAATGTCACTGTTAGAATAGCACAAAGATCATTGTTTTTAGCTATTTCTGTTCAAATGCAAAACAGAACTACTGTTAAAACTGAATGTGAACAAATGTTACACAGACCAAAATTACTCTAAAATATTATCAAAACTGAATGTGAACAAATGTTACTCAGACCAAAATTACTCTAAAATATTATCTATGTCTAAAACCTATGACTCTTTGTTGCACATCTTTTAGAAATTCTACTTGTAGGACAATTTTTTTTTAATAGTGTGTATGAGTGTATTGCCTGCATGTATGAGTGCACTTGTGTTGTGCAATGCTGCAGAGGTAAGAAGAGGGTGTCGGATTCCCCTGGAACTGGAGTTAAGGACAGTTCATAACCACCATGTGGGTGCTGGGAATTGAACCCAGGTCCTCTGCAAGAGCAGTCAGTGCTCTTAACCGCTGAGCCATCTCTCCAGCCCCAGGACAATTATTTTTTTTAAATGGCAAAACATATTGGCCTAGGAACTTGGATTCTTACAGCATTCTTCTCATGTAAATTTTCCATTTATTTTCATAGGAGACTGAAAACCCTATGCATAGCTCATAATATATGTACTTGTGCTTATTTTTTGCAGAGCAAAACTTGAATGAAACTGTTGGGTAAGCACTGTAACAAGTCAAGAGCTATATTTTAAGTAAGTACTGCAAATGGCTTTACTTCAGGCATTTAAAATAACCCTACCAATAATAAGTTTATTTGCTTTAAGTAACTGGACATTGTTCATTACATACATAGAGTTAATAGTAAAACTCTAGAGAAAAATCACTTGGTTCTAGGGCCAGAAATAGCTGTACACATCAATCTCGAAATACATGTTAGATTCCTAAGGATCTAACAAACTAGTCTAAAAACTAAGGATTGGTAGGGGACATGAATGACTAACTTGTCTCTGTGCTGGTAGAAGATATTTAGGTATAAATGGTGGCCTTTATATTAGATAAAGTCATCCTTTCGAAGTTTTCTGGTTATCCTTTTCTTCTCAAGGTGAAAGTCTAGTCAAGTTGGACTTGTGTATATTTTTTGCAGAGCAACACTGAACAGAAAACTGTTAGGTAAACACTGTAACAGTAAGGGTCTGTCTATAGTTAGTACTGCAAATGGCTTTACTTTGGGCATGCCAGGGAATTTTGAAATAAGTGCCAAGTAAAATTTGATGCAAATTTATGTTGAAATAAGCAATATTTACAAATCTCTAATCTTAAAAAAAAAATCATAGAGCTCATCTCCTCTGAAAAACTCTGTATGGGTTAATCCATACAAGCAAATACTAAGGTAAGTAGGTCACTCTATACTGCTTTCAATGCCTCTGACCATGCCTGGAATAGGTTTCAGTACATTTTCTTGAATACGTTAACACCAGCAAATACTAAAAATTAGTATGAAAAATAATCCTTTCAATAATGAGTGATTTTTCCATTCAGGGCAATTTTGCTCCTCACAAACAGATGTAGCAATGTTTGAAAACAATTCTGATCATTAACAGTAGCATACATTCCACAGTGGCCAAGGATACTACCACACCTGACAACACACAGAAAAGACCCTCATAACAAAAATTTGCCTGGTCCAAAATATCGACAACCCAAGAATTGGGGGTAAGCTTTCTTTTCAGGACTGCTAAGAGCTCTGAGTATCTAGTCATGCTCAGCATATAAATAACTCTTATCTGCTAGTCCAACTAGATTTTAGAATATGCTCCTCTTGTCTTTGTTCCTGGTTTAAAAAATCTCTTCTCTCTCTCTCTCTCTCTCTCTCTCTCTCTCTCTCTCTCTCGTCTCCCTATGTGTTTTGTTTTGTTTTGTTTTGTTTTGTTTTGTGTGTGTCTCCCTGTATTTGAGACAGGGCTGCATTGTCTTGTTGGGACATACAAGACAAACTGACCCACAAACTTCCAGGGATTCTTCTGTCTCTGCCTTCCACAGTGCCATAGGAGACCAAGGATTACAGACTTGTCTTACCATGACCACCCTGGGGATACTAGGATTCAAACTCAGGATTTCATGATTACAAGGCAAGAGCTCTTACAAACTGAGCCACCTCCCGAGCCCCGTTTCTATTTTTTTAAAATCTATTTTCATCTTACATTGTTCATAGAGATTTAAGTTTGGATAAAGGTGGAGGGAATGGATAAATTATTGAATTACATGTTTAATTTAAAAACTAATTTTTAACCATATGAACTAGTGTGTGTGTGTATACTACAGTGACTGTGTGAAGATCAGAGGACAACCTTGGGTATTGGTCCTCATCTCTCACCTCCTTTGAGACACGGTCTATCTGTTATTTACTGCTTGCTGCGGGTATACCATGCGAGCTGGCCAGTCAACTTCCAGGGGAATTCTTCTGGCTTGGCCATCTACTTCGCCATAGAGGCACTAGGATTTACAGATATGTGCTTCCACACCTGGCCTTATACTGATTCTGGAGAATTCAAACTCAGGTCCTTATACTTTCACAGCAAGAACTTTTCCCACTAAGCTGCCTCCCCATACCCTATTTGAACTATTTAATACTTTATTATTAGAAATGCAACTGTAACAGTTTTTTTCTTATACTTAAAATTCTGATAAAAGTTTACGGTTAAAAATAAGATAGTCTTGGCCTTTAAAATTAGATAGGAAGTGGAGCTGGAAAGATGGCTCAGTGGTTAAGAGCACTGACTACACTTCCAGAGGACATGGTTCAGTTCCCAGTACCCACATGGTGGCTAACAAACATCCCTAACTCCAGTTCCAGGGATTCAGTGTCCTTTTCTGGTCTCTGCGAGCAATTGCATTCAGGTAAATCACTCATGAATGTAAAATTTTTTAAAATTAAAATTTTTAATTAGATAGAAAGTTACCAACAACAACAAAAAATATTACTGTTACTGGAACATTAGGTTTGGCATTCAGAACATAGACACAGGTCAGTCAGATGTTCATCATTTAAATAATAACAATACTAACAATAAATTAATAGCATAAAGTAAATTTAAAGAAAAAAGCCAAGTCATCAAAATTAAACCAATAGAATTTTTCAGTCTCTGTTTCTATTTAAAATTTCTCATATTCTACTCATTTTCAGGCAAAAGGACAGAAAATGAAATTCAGCCTTGGATTTACTCATGCTAATAACATATCCTAAAAGATCATTAATGTAAACTTTATAAAGCTTTATATATTTTAAATTAAAACAGGAAGCATTCTGTTGATAGCTTAATATCTGCTTAGAATAAAAGCATCCCACCCTAAACTGTTCAAAACCATTGGGTGTGGTACACATGCCTTTAATCACAGCACTCTGGAGGCAGAGGCAAGTGGATCTCTGTGATTCTGAAGCAAGCCTGGTCTACATAGTGACTTCCAGGTCAGCCAGGGCTACATAGTAAGACCCTGCCTGAAAAACAAACAACATCGATCTTATTAATAAGAAAGAATATCTTGTAACTGACATCAAAGTTGAGCATTCTTCTTGATCTTCAAATACTGAAATAAGGGCCAGCAAAACGGCTCAGCAACTAACTTACCATGCAAGGCTGGTGACCTGAGTTCTATCCCTAGAACCCAAATAAGGGTAGAAGAAGGAAATCGATTCCACAAAGCTGTCCTCTGAACTCCACATGTTCACTGTGGCACTCAAGCCCACATATACACACCATGCCCACACATGATAATAAAATTTTGAAAAAAATTGAGGTAAGTATTCTGGTTATATTTATAAATTTTTAAGCATAGCTGAAGTAAAATAGACATGTAAACACCACATATGAAAGATATCAGCAGTGCAATACTCAGGACAAAAAGGTAATAAATACTGGGCACTAAATATGCATAAATGTTCAGAGTTCCTTCATATTATTGATGCAAATACACGTATCACAATGCATAATACAATCTGTACTTATGTTGCTTTGAAAATTCTAAGTTGAAATAATTCAGTAGTATTTATATTACTGATAATTCATTTACACCATGAATAAAATACAAAACAGTTTAAATCTTTGAAAATTAAAAATGAGCATTATCATATTGATGTTCCATTAGTATTTGATTCATCTAGATAACAAATGTTACATAGGCAGTCAACAGTTGGACACTTTTCCTTTTAAAATAGTAGTAACAGTAACTGGCCACAACAATAACAGTAACTGGTACATGATTATAATCCCAGCACTCAGAAAGATGAAGCTGGAGGGAAAGAGCCTGACTCCAGTCTGGCCTACATAGTGAGACTGGCTCAAAAAAAAAAAAGCATATATGTGTGTGTATATATATATACCACAATATCACAATATGATATATACACATAGCACAATATGAGATCTGCAAGTTACATGGAGTAGAACTTAAAAAAGCCTTTGTCAGGAGGTAAAGGGAAGTAAAAAGTTCACTTCCTATTCTTTTCCTATAATGACTGAAAGAGAAACTTTTCCTAGGACAAGAGCGGTATGTGACTGGTCTATTGACACTGTCTTCATCTTCGAGAACTTCTGGCTTTTATGGCAGAAAATAGTCAACAGCTTTTTTATTGGAAAACAAGTTTTCACTTTGGTTATTACTTGAGATTTCACCTCTTCTGAGGAGGAATGAGGTATCTGAATTTTAAAAAAAATTCAAGAGAGCAGACATGGTGGGACACACAATCTGTTATCTCAGAACTTGGGTCCTGAGACACAGGCAGGAGGATGACTGCAAGTTCAATGTCAGCCCGGCTATGCAGTAAAACTCCTCTCAAAGAAAAGGAGGGGAAAGGGGGAGGGATGAGTGGAGGGGAGGGGATAGATGGGGAAGGGAAAGGGAAAGGAAAAGAAGGGAATCTCAGAGGAATGTGAAGGACTAAAGGCATTATCTACCCATCATGGTCATCTACAGAATGAAAGAAAAGCTCTATTGTAATCAATTACATTAGGGTTTCAGGCCACATTTGCTAATATTTTCAAAAAGTGACTCTACTTTTCTGAACTAAATTTCTAATTCTGATAAATTTTCTCAGTATACTTAAGCCCAGATACCAGGTTTTTCTGCATAAATAATTTCTTGGGGCAATATTTATTAACTAGTGTAAATAGACTCAAAGTTCTTTTTGTTCTTAATTGTATCTGTATAAATGTTTAGCCCAAATGTATGTAAGTGCACCACAAACAGGCCTGGTACTCACAGAGGCCAGAAGGGTGTATCAGATCCCCTGGACCTGGAGTTAAGGATAGGTGTTAGGCTCCATGTGGATGCTGGGAACAGAACCCAAGTCCTCTGCAAGAGTAGTAAGTGCTCTTAAACACTTAGCCCTCTCTCCAGGAACTATAATCAAAGCTTTAATAAGGAAATTAAAGAAGCTTTATGGCTAAGCATTAAAGAATAGCATTCCAGGGCTCAGGAAAGGCAGCTCAGGGGCTAAACTGCTTACATTATGAAGACCTGAGTTTTGTATCCACAGCACTCACATAAAAAGCCAAGTGTGGCAATGTGTGCCAATAATCACAGTGCTGGGGACAGAAGGATCCCAGGGACTTACTGGCCAACCACTCTAGCCAATCAGTGAGCTCCAGGTTCAGTTGAGAGACCTTGTCTCAAACAAAAAATGAGGAGACTGAAGTAATAGCTAAGTAGTTATAAACACTTGCTGGAGTTTAGATCCCAGCACCCACCTAACAAGCCAGGTGTTCTGCAAATACCTGCAACTCCCAGCCCGGAGGGATCAGACATCTGCTGTTGGCCTCCACATGCACACAGAATTATGCATCCCACATGTGAAAACATGTGCAAACACTTATGCTGACACACACATACACAAATAAGATAAAAGAATGATAAAGGAAGACCCTTGATCTAGACCTTCAGCCTTCACAGGTGCATGAGAAGGCATACACACCCTCATAGACAACCATACACCACACAACAAAAGAATTTAAATTTTTAAAAAATAATCAAGGAGCTGGAGAGATAGCTCAGCGGTTAAGAGCACTGACTGCTCTTGCAGAGGACCTGAGTTCGATTCCCAGCACCCACATGGAGGTTACAAATTGTCCTTAACTCCAGTTCCAGGGGAATCAGACGCCCTCTTCTGACCTCTGCAGCATTGTACAATATGGGTGCATTCACATACATGCAAACAACACACTCATACACATAAAATAAAAATAATAAAATATTTAATAAACAAAATAGCCAAAGGGCCAGTAGATTATATATAATTCTTAAATATGCTATGAATATAGATATAAAACTGTACCGGTAAGCTCCCATACTAAAATGACCTTATATTAAAAGTTGTTTTTTGTTTGTTTGGTTTTTTTTTTAATTTCAGACTAGGGATATAACTCAGTGGTAGATCACATAACTAGCAAGTTTAAGGAAGGCCCTGGATTCAACATGCCCACCACCAAAAAAAAAAATTTTTTTAATGCTATTACATACTTGAGAATGGTACTTAGCATGTAATAAAAAGTAGATTTATTTTTATTAATTACTCTCAGAATATGTGTTGATACTGGGAAAAGACTCTTAGTTAGATCCCAAGAAAGACTGAAAGAATAAGAACTCATTTCTGCAATACCCAGTTCTCTCAGAATCATGTGTCAAAGTGATGCTTAAAAACAGTTTATTGCTGAGGGAATAACTTAGTGGCAGAACGTTAGGACTAGCGTGTGTGAGGGATGACACATACATGAAGTGCCATGATCATGTAGCTTATTCATCAAGTAATGCTTCAATAAACAATATATATATAACATTAATATTTCCCTTTAGTGGTTCTTTAGCTAACACAGAAATATGTACAAAGCTCAGTTTTGAACCACATATAGCACAAACTCCTTGTGAAAAATAAGTTGAATAAAACTATGCAGTTTCATAATATACTCTTCAAACAGCATACAAAGCTACTATCAAACAAAATCCATAAGCAAAGCCCAAACTTAATTTGTTATCAAATTATATTTTAGTTTATATTACAATTTTTTTCCACAAGGCAATATATTTCTTACATTTAAACCAAGTGAAATTATTCCAAAATTTTATAAAGAAATTTCTAAAAACTATAAAAACACTATTGTTTGTCAGTATCTGAGTCCTTAATAAAAATGGAAAGTGTAATTTAAAATCTGGAATAATTCTCCTGAATTGTGATAACATTAAAAAATATCAGTGAGATTTTGCTTCACTACATACCAAGAAGTGGTGACATATTCTGAAATATACGAAGCAATTCTGGTGTAACACATGGGCTATTTTCCAATGTCACCAACCTAGGAAAGAAAAACACATGATTAGCTCATTTCCAATATTCACTTGTGACATTAATACAACAACTTAAGTGTAAACAAGTTTTATCTAGGGGCTGGTGAGAGGGCTCAGTGGGTAAAGGTGACTACAGCCAAGACTGACCTTAGCTCCATACCTGGGACACAAACACTGAAAGGAGAGAATCAACTCTTAAGTTGTCCTCTCAACTCCACATACACAAGCACAAAAAATTTAATTAAAAATGAATACAGAGTTATAATAATTACCTTAGAATAATTTCCTTTGCCACAGAGCCCTACCATGATGTACTATCTGTCAAATACCAAAGCAATGGGGTCAGTAAGTCACAGACTGAAGCCTCTCAAACTGTGAGCCAAATAAAAGCCTCTTCTCTTTATAAGCTATCTCAAATACTTGTTACAGGAAAATATTGCTAACATAAGTTTGTTTTTTAAAAGAATTTCTAGTAAGTACCTACCAACAATTAATAGCAATACAGTCCATGATGATGTGTTAAGAATATTCTCACAGAAAGCAGAACCAAACCTCACAGAACACTTTGCAGTACCTTTTCTACCACTACATTTATTCAGTGTACCTATGGGGGGTTATCAGTCTCTTTCCCTGATCATGTGATAAAATACACAGACAAAAGCAACTTAGGGAAAAAGGGCCTGTGTTGACTCATAGTTCAAGGGTACAGTACACCATGGCAGCGAAATCAAAGCAGCAGAAGCTTGAAGTAGCTGGTCACGCCCTGACCACTGTTGGGAAGCAAACATCAATGCGTGCTAGGGCTTGCTCGGCTCACTTTCTCCATTTTATACAGTCCAGGATCTCCATCTAGGGAATGATCTCACACCCACAGTTAAGATGAGTCTTCTCACAATTAACCCAATCAAGATAATCCCTCAAGACATTCTCAGACATTAACTTTAATCCAGATAATACCTCAGGTGTGTCTAGAGGCTGATGTCCTATGTGATTATAGATTTTGCCACATTGACAACTAACACTAACCAATACAAAATGCCTCTCACATAAGCCAAGTGAATTAACAAAAGATACTGGAGTAACAGGAAAAAAAAGTTACAGTCTAGTCACAAAATAGAGGACTATTCAAAAGAAAGGAAAATATAATTTATAAAAATTCAAATTACTAAGCAAATATATAGCAAGATTGCTAAATATGTCTATATACAAAAACCAACTCAGTTTCTATATTAAAAAAGATAGTTAAGGGGCTGGGGAGATGGATCAGCAGTTAATAACACTGGCTGTTCTTGCAGAAGACGTGGGTTCGAATACCAGCACCCACATGGCAGCTAACAACTGTCCGTAACTCCAATTCCAGGGGATCCGACAGCCTCTTCTGTCCTCCACTGGCACTGCACAACACAGGTGCACTTACCTACAACAGGCAATACACACATACACATAAAAATAAAAAATTTATTTTAAAAAAAGATAGTTAATATGCAAAAGGATGTTATCAGAGCTATAGACATAAAAATCCAATGATGTCAATTCTCTCTGAATTGTAAACACTATCAACACAATTCCAATTAAAATTCTTAACGAGCATCCCTGGAAATTAGCCAAGCTATAAAATGATTTGGAAGACAAATGGCAAAGAACAGACAAAAAACAATTTTCAAGAAGAATCACATATGGAGTCTATGCTGGGGAATTTTTCCTTAACCAAATATTGGAACTTACTATAGCACCCTAATAATTCAGTGGAAAAAAAAAAAAAAACACAATAAAAACTCTCCTTGTCAGATCCAGATTAAGCTGCAGTATGAAGCATCTTCTTTCCTTCTGACTTTGTCTTTACTTCAATAAAAGACCATGCAAGTTGGTATCTCACTTCCTCTGATAGGGTCCCAGTATAAACCAAACTATTTTAAAAAGGAGGAAAAGTGTCAACTTAAACTATCTAAAAAGATCAGGTATGCAACTTTGGATTAAACTAATGAAGATAAAGAAGGCAGCACAAAAAGGAAAACGCTATTCCTGATCATTAGAAGAAAAGAAAGCTACCATTTTGATTAATAGAGAGCTATATGTAAAAGCAGTTTGACTAGAAAAACAAAAAGTTAAAGTATAGAAAAGGGCTGTAGGTGATATGGCTCAGCAATTAAAAGCACTAGCCACCAAGCCTGGTAACCCGAGTTTGATGTCCAGAACACACAGTGTGGAAGGAGAGAACCAACTCCCAGTACTTGTCCTCTGACCTCCACAAATGTGCCATGGCATGCACATGCACCCTCTGCACACACTGAATATATAATGTAAAAAAATAAAAGAGAAAGTATAAACTAGACTCAAAAAATAAATGTAAGACATGAAAATACTATTGAAAACATCTTTGGTTAAGTTAAAATATAAATATAAAAATTTGTTCTTCATAGGAGACATCTAAAACCAATGAAGCTGAAATGGAAAAGTCAAACAATGACATGGTAAACAAAATAAACGATAAGACAATATTCATAACTGAATTTAAAAGATAAAATGAAATTCACCACAGAATTGTGCAATATGCTTCAAGAAAACAACCGAGTTTGAAATACTAAATTTATTTTTGTGTTTATGCAGTGTGGGTCAAATCCAGGGCCTCCTGTATGGTAGACAAGGACTTAACCCTTGAATAACACCCTCAGTCCTAAATTTATTAAATAAACAATATATAAATCTATCACGATACTGGGTGAGGCCTTTATTCCCAGCATTTGGGAGGCAGAGGCAGGCAGATCTCTGAGCTCCAGGCCAGCCTGGGACTATAAAGAGATCCTGTCTCAAAAAAAAAAAAAAAAAAATTAAATGTTGTGTACTAAGAGTATTTTAATGCTCAAAAAAAAAAAAAGTCACAATAGAAACAAACACAACAAAAAAACCTGAATTTAGTATTTTAATAGTCAAGAAGAAAAAGCAAAATAATGTGAAGTATGCAATTGACAAGTATACCAGAGAGCTTTAGTTGCCAACTTGACACACCAAGGTTGAAGGAGACGCAACTGGGAAATTGCCTCCAATGGAAATGTCTGTGGGGCATTTTCTTGGTTGTTGAGTGATGCAGGAGGGCCCAGCCCATTGTGGGTGGTGCCACCCCTGGGCAGGCACTCCTATGTTGTATAAGAAAGCAGGCTGAGCAAGGGCCAGGAGAGCAAGCCAGTAAGCAGCCCTCCTCCATGGTCTGTGCTCCAGGTTCCTGCCCTGAGTTCCTGCCTTGGCTTCTTGATGATAAACTATGCTGTAAGCCAAACAAATCCTTTCCTCCCCAAGTTGGTTTTGGTCACTGCTTTGAGTTTTTGTTGTTGTTGCTTTTTAATTTCATTTTATTATTTTTATTTTATGTGTATGTATGAGTGTATTGCCTGCATGTATGTGAGTGTACCCATGTGGTGCAATGCCGTGGTCAGAAGAGGGCTTTGGATTCCCCTGGAACTGGAGTTAAGGATGGTTCGTAGCCACCATGTGGGTGCTGGGAATCGAACCCGGGTCCTCTGCAAGAGCAGTCAGTGCTCTTAACCACTGAGCCATATCTCTAGCCCCGTTGGTCAGTGTTTTAATCACAGCAACAGAAAGTAACTAAGACGGGCAAGGTGTGGTGGTGCACATCTTTAATCTCAGCAACTGGGAGGTAGATGCAGGCAGATCTTTGTGAGTTCAAGGCCAGCCTGGTCTAGAGAGTTCCAGGCCAGCTGGGGCTACAGGGAGACCTGAAACCAAAAAAAATAATAATAATAAAAATAAAGAAGTAACTAAGACAACAAGTTAAAAAGAACAGAGGCATGTCAAAGTCTTCATTTTTATGCCATTGTTCAAATAGGATTTGAGTCTGTTACGAAAATGGCTACAGTTCTAAAAATTCACAGTAAGTTTAAGGAAACTTACAAACCATATGTTTAACAGTAATGTGATAAATCTAGGCCTGAATTATATGCATTAGTAAACAAGAAAATAAATAATGCTAAGACAAAGAAGAAAAACTTGCAACGTTAGCACTACAATAAAAAATAAAACATGAGCTATCAAAGCTTATGAAAAATAAGCAATTATACTCCACAATTAATCACAACATTTTATGTTTCAGTGTCTGGGATGAGTGTGATGGTGCATACCTTCAATCTTAGGATTCAGGCAGCAGAGGCGGGCAGATCTCTGTGATTTTGAGGCCAGCATGGTCTCCATAGCAAGTTCCAGCCCAATCAGGGCTACACAGTGAGACTATCTCAAAAAAAAAAAAAAAAAAAGGTTTTTTGTCTGATAAGAAAAACAAAGATAAATTAACCTTTTGTCTTTTAGGATTACTAGAAAAACGTATCTACAACTAAGTGTAAGAAGCTAACGTATGAAGCAGACACAATGGGAAAAAACAAAATGCATAAATCTAAGAGGTAGCTGCTTCATGATACAAAAAAAGCACTCTAAGAAAAGCACTTAACAGGAAGATAAATTTAAAAGCCATGCATGGGGGCTGAAGAGATGGCTCAGCGGTTAAGAGCACTGACTGCTCTTGTAGAGGACCTGAGTTCAATTCCCAACACTCACATGGCAGCTAGAAACCATCCTTAACTCCAGTTCAAGGGGAATCCGAAGCCCTCTTCTGACCTCCGCAGCACTGCATGACATGGGTACACTCACATACATGCAGATAATACACTCATACACATAAAATCAAAATAATAAATATTAAAAAAAAAAACATGAATGCCAGAAAGAAGCATACTGAAATTTTTTTCTATTAGTATTTAAAAGGACTAAATGATATAACCATTATCAATAATCAAAATGAGTATAAGCTAATGGAGAAACAACCTAAGGACATTACAAAAATTATAAATGAACCACTGACTTCAAACATGGATCCATTTCCAACTTATTTCTTTAAATGTCCAAAGAAAAAATAACATCTTACAAAACCATTTCTGTGTAAATAATTTTTAATTAAATTGGTAACATACGCATAACTCCAATGTAAGATCAAACAGTATTG